GCGCTGCCCGGTGCCCAAGTTCGCGGGGAGCGCGCCCGCGGTGCGTGTGCTTTATCGTCGGCGTGTAAATATATAAAAAAATCGGAATAGTGTGTGCGGGCGGGGTAGATGAATAAATATAAAAATTAGAATATTATGTGCGTGATAAATATATAAGTATAAAAATAAAAATATTGCGTACATAATAAATAAATAAATATAAAAATTAGAGTATGGTGGGCGGGATAGATAAATAAATATGAAACTTAGAATATTGTGTACATAATAAATAAATATAAAAATCAAAATATCGTGTACACATGATAAATAAATAAATATAAAAATCAGAATATTGCGTATGTAATAAAAAATATAAAAATCAAAATATCGTGTACACATCATAAAGAAATGAATATAAAAATAATTAGAATGCCGCGCACGTAACAAGTAAATAAACATAAGGATTAGAGTATTGTGTACATGGTAAATGAATAAGTATAAAAATTAAGTTTGTAATAAAAAATAAGTAATTATAACATAAAAATTACATTTATAAAAGTAATGAAAGAGAAATAATTATAACGATCAAGCTCACAATAACAACGAAGAATAAATATATGGAAATTTAAGTCTGCGGTAACGACGACGACAACTGAGCAAATGGTTAAAGTAGAAATAATTAAAGGAAAATAATGAAAATCAAATAAATACGAAATAAGTAAAGGAAAATAATCAAAAATAAATACGAAATAATTAAGGGGAAATAATCAAAATCAAATAAATACGAAATAATTAAGGGAAAATAATGAAAATCAAATAAATACGAAACAATTAAATAAAATCCAATGTGGACCCGCAGACCTGGAAGTGGATCCTGGGCCCCATGGTTCTGTACCTGTGCGAGCGGCTGGTGCGGCTGTGGCGGGCGAGGCAGAAGGTCGTCGTCACCAAGGTACCGGGTGCGAGTCATCGGCAGATTCGTGACAGGTTATCGGTTATTGATCACCCGTGGTTGATTATCGATTATATATTATTGATAGGTTATCGGTTATTGATCATCCGTGGTTGATTATCGATTATATATTATTGATGGGTTATCGGTTATTGGGTATTGGTAGGTTATTGATAGGATATTGTTTGTTGATTGCTGACAGATGGTTGACAGGTTATTGGTTATATATTATTGATTGCTGATAGATTGTTGACACATTACAGATGCACAGGTAGGTGGATGATAGATTCAGAGCAATCAACCTCGCACTCGGCACCCGAACCCCCACGACCTCGCACCCAGCACCTGATTATTGATTGTTGGTTGCTGGTTACTGAATATCGATGGGTTATTGATCGGTTATTGACTATGATAGATTATGGATAGGTAGAGAGAAATCAACCTCGCACCCAGCACCCGAACAACCACCGCGCGACCTCGCACCCAGCACCCCCCGGCCCCCCCCCCCCGCAGGTGGTGACGCACCCCGGCGGCACGTTCGAGCTGCAGATGCAGAAGCGCGGGTTCCGCATGGCGGTGGGGCAGTACGTGTTCCTGCAGTGCCCGCGCGTGTCGCGGCTGGAGTGGCACCCGTTCACGCTCACCTCCGCGCCCGAGGAGGACGTCTTCAGCGTGCACGTGCGCGTGGCGGGCGACTGGACCGAGGCGCTCTTCCGCGCGTGCGGCTGCGACCGGCCGGAGTTCCAGGAGGCCTGGAAGCTGCCCAAGTGAGTGAGTGTGCGAGGGGGCGGGGAGGCGGCGGGGGGGCACGCGCGCGTGCGAGAGTTCGTTCCCCCCGAGTGAATGCAGGACACACACGCGCGGGCAAGAGTTGTTGGCGTGTGCCCTCGCACACCCACAATTGCGCCCTCGCACACCCACAACTGCGCCCTCGCACACCCACAATTGCGCCCTCGCACACCCACGCCCTCGCACACCCACAATTGCGCCCTTGCACACCCACGCCCTCGCACACCCACAACTGCGCCCTCGCACACCCACAACTGCGCCCTCGCACACCCACAACTGCGCCCTCGCACACCCACAATTGCGCCCTCGCACACCCACAATTGCGCCCTTGCACAACTGCGCCCTCGCACACCCACAACTGCGCCCTCGCACACCCGCGCCCTCGCACGCGCAGGATCGCCGTGGACGGCCCCTTCGGCACGGCGAGCGAGGACGTGTTCAGCTACGAGGTGGTGATGCTCGTGGGCGCCGGGATCGGGGTGACGCCCTTCGCCTCCGTGCTCAAGTCCGTGTGGTACAAGCGCTGCGGCGGCGACGCCGACCTGCGGCTCAAAAAGGTGAGAGGGTGAGGGGTCGCGGGGCGGGCGGGTGCGCGTGCGCTCGCACACTCGGGGGAACGCTTATCTGTTTTATTTTTATTTTCATTTATTTTATATTTATTTTATTTTATTTTGTTTATTTATTTTTATTTATTTTGTGTTTATTTTATTTGCATTTATTTTATTTTAAATTAATTTTTTGATATTAGATTTATTAAAATCAGAATATTATGCACATAAT